CGTTAAAAATCCCCCCCCCCCGGTATCTTGGTCTGGGGCCCCTGGGGCTTAGTTATAACTTAGGTATGTATGTAACGTTTGTTTTCATCCAACCCGAACAATCACGATATTTGCTTATAACTATAATATTTTAACCCTTCTATGTGAATATTTCAAACATCCTGCAACGACAATTCTAAGCATATTTACAGGCATATGGGTTTTAACACTACATTTATAATTTATGATATTCATACTAATAGTTGGTAACTGGTTTGTAGTGGTGGTTAATATAATGTGTAGAGATATTCAAAATTAATTAAACCCCGAACGTAATGTATACTATTAGAAAACAGTAACCACACTCAAGTCCTCAGTTCTAGGTCTGGATGCAAACTGCGGTAAAATTAATCTTTTTCTAAAAGCCGATATGAAAACTACGAAAAGAAAAAATTTAACATTTTACAATCCGCAACCAAACCAACGAGGTACATTATACTAGTTGCAGTTATTTATTTTATATAGCTACGATATTATGTATAATATGCTTCAAGCTATAACAATTATTTTACTGAAATTTGTGATGCGGCCACGCGTTCTTGACCCTCAAAAAACAGGCAGTGCTTCTTTCTTTGCACGTCCGTCGACGTTTTCTCGTCGTCCGATTATTTAGAAATGTTGAAAAATGCCGACTGTGTGTCGGACAGAAAACCAGTATGTCCTTAAATGCGGGGATGGGGAGAGAACCATATCGGTTTTATGATTACGTAAGATGAAAATTCCCTGAAAAAAAACAACGTATACAACTCAGATGGACACCGATATTGTGACGTTAATATTATTTATATTTGCTCACGTCGACCAACGAATTTATTGCTAGCACAGGCAGCTGATATACGATCACAGTACACCGGGAAGAGAGGAAAGTTAGGGGGTTTTTTTTTTTTTAACTCTACGGAACGTAAAAACTGCCTCAACTCCGCTCCCGTATCATCAGTGACATGGGATAGACGTGGTGACGTAGACGTATTATATGCGCGTTGCTATTATAATATAATAATTCGTCAAAAAGGTTTCCCGTGTACTTTTCAAATGTGTACACACACACACACACACACACACACACACACATACACACACACACGCATACATACGTACATATACACAACTGCAATAAGTGCAATGATATAATCAAAATTAAATTTTATTTTATTTTTTATTTTTTAATGAAAACAATTTTAAATTAAATAATAATAAAAATCATTCTTTATTTTATCATAGGTATACAATATTCCGTAATTTGTTTATACGTAAAATATTATTACAATTTTTTTTTTCGCGAGGAAGGCTTTGACCTCAAAAAAGTTAATAACTCATTGTGGTATTCGGGTTCATTTTATTCAACATTTTACATAACCATAGCGGCAAAAAGTCTTCAGTCGGTCGACCTCCCGGATGCATAAACGAATATTTTCGTTTGACAAAATGACGTATAGCCGAACATTAATCGTGTTAAAACACCTCCGAGGTAACGAAAAACGAATACCGTCTTAGGTCTCCACAACAAAATTTCAAAGAGTAAATAGCGAATTCATTTACGGTAAAAACAGTAATAACGAATTATTTATTGTTTATACACGCACATACATTTATTTGTAATGAAATTACATTTTTACAAAACAAATGTATTTAATTTGAAATGATATTTATACAACTATTGTTAAAATGCTAATTCTATCTACACGCAACTCGTTTTTCAACATCTAGTACTATGATACTAATCTATAATAGTGTTTGTACAGTGTTTTTATGTCTAGTCCAATGTACTCGTATACCAATGAATTATATTTTAATACATTTTTTTTTCTGACATTACGATTTGACTGATTAATTTTTATTTATCCAAGATCCCCGCTTTTCGCGATTATTGTTTTCACTATTTATAAATGTCCCTATTTATTTTTCGTGATTTTGACTTTTACTCAATTAGTACGTAAGTATAATACGATTGATTTGCAATTTCAAAATAAATATAATGTCAATATATTATAGTTTTTGTAAATCAAGAATAATACGAGTAAATGACTCTACAGAGTACAGTGTACACATTTACAAATCCTATATCATTATTTTCAACTACTCGTATATTCATTTTTTTTTGTTTTTTTGTCAAACCTCCAACGCCTTTAAATTTATTATTGTTTAAAAAACAATATATTTAACTTACTTTTGACAATTTACCGACATCCGATCATATTACGCTAGAAGATGCAATCATTTTAAACGTCCACGGTCGAAACACAACAGCCAATGAACTGGTGAAGATAAATTAATATACATAATATGTTATGTCATAAATGATGTACGTAACTCCATTATGATGAATTACTTCGATTATTTCCTCTATCAATACAATTATTTGAGTAGATATAGTTAACATTATATTGAAAGATATTTTCCACGGATGGGAAACTATGGAAAAAAAGTTTGAACAGTAATTTTAAAAAAGAATCTTCGCTATATTAGTCACGTATTTTGATAAAGTTTTTAATCTAATTTATAGTTATACACTATTGTGAAATTTATACTATATAACTGTTATTAATATTTATATTCGACAAAATATTAAATATTGCATAAAAAGTAAAAGTATTAAGACGATTTATAAAACAAAAAATGCATAAAGACCTCAAAATTCACTCCTTAAATCAAATTTCTAAAATTTATTACACCAAATTCTACACTAAACTTCATTCACATACAAACCCCCTAATCACAAAACTATCTACAAAAACACTTCCCGATAACCCCCATCGACGATTAAAAAGGAAATGGTGTAGGGATCTCCTATCCTAACACAGAAAAAAAAAAAAAAAAAAAATGACCATACATAAACAAATTCACGTGCTGGGTGTTACCACTGGGTAATCTCCCATATTCAAATCAACTCACATTCATTTTATATTCCTATATCCCACCTACTTATTGTACACAAATAATTGTATAGATTGTAGATTACTTTACCTAATAAAAAAAAAAAAAAAAACAAATAGTCAGCTAGAACGATTTTTGATTCGATATTTCATTTTACAATTGTTAAAAATCAATCATATTTTTCTACGTAAGCAGTTTATAGCAATTCAAATTTTACTATAATTTGTATATACATTAGACCTTTAGAAATACGATCTTGAACAAGATATCCATATATAAAGGTTGTTACAATAGAATATACACACATTATATATTAATTCACATTTGACTTATATTAACACTGAAAACATATAATTATTGTGATTGTTCACAACTGTACATCGACTACGGCTGGATCTCGTTTTGAAATCATTATGCTACGCAAAACATATTGACTTCCTAATTGGATAATACACTGTTTTGGATAGAAGAAAGCAATAAAAAAAAAAAAAAACTATTAAAGGAGACTATAAAACTGTGTTAAACGTAGTAAAATTTACTTGTGAAATATTCTTAAATTTGTATCACCGCAATAGTGTCATATTGTTATATTTTATAGCACTATTATATATTTTATCCCCTATCCGGGCTATCAAAATTTAATACACAAATTTTTTATATTGGCTGCATCAAACCAATAATCTTGTCGCCGATATTTGAACAGATTAAGCAGCGGGATGGAAATATTTTTAACCAATAACATTCTTATTATCATTCTTCGACAATTGGCCGGTGAAATTTCCCTCTGTGAATCATTTTCCGATAAAAGTTCATCTCGCAATTATGACACCCAAAGCGATCTAGCGAATAGACATTACATTTTTTTGATGTTCTAAAAATACTTTTTTAAATTGTTTTTACTTGAACAACGATATAATATATATCATATATGTTAATATCTTATCAATGTTAAGCTTTCAATGATTTTAACTTACATTTTTCTATCAATATATGCAATTATTAGATAAGTAATAAATTACATAATGGTTAGCAAATTTTTATTTTTATATCAATAATAATTACTGCTATGTATTTCAAGAAAAAAAAAAAAATCAAAAAAAAGGTTACACTTTTCAATCCCAAGCAAATCCGCATTAATTCAGACAGTAAAGCTGATGGTTACACACTACGCGTTTTAGACGTTAGCGTATATATTTTCAAAACGAAGGCTTTAAACGCCAAAAAATAAATTTGTATGGTTCGCATAGAGGCGTATACATTATCGCGAAACCGTACGTTAACGTCTAAAATGTGTAGTGTGTAACCAACTTAATATGTAGTTTCATAATGTCTATACTCACACACCCCGTTAATATATTTTCCGTATAATATATATGCATGGCATCCCACGAAGATAATATCTACATAATTATATTATAAGCATTGCTATGTCTTCTGGGATAATGAAGATAATCAAATTATATTATTTTTGTCGTACAACTCCGAAGGATAATTTTATTATTTTTGAACGGTTTGAGTATGATCAACTTTTAGAGTTTATTTTTCTGAAATGTTGACGTTTCAATTTTCATTTTTATTAACTTCATGATTTTAATTTTTTTTTTTTTTTTCAGTTTATAGACAATTAATATTGTACTATTGTTTATTTATAAGAGTGTTTTAAATTTACCACAAGAATTAATTAGTTAAGGTAACATCGAGTCATGATTATGTTAAGTAGTATATAAAATTACTAAACAAATATTGAAAACCTTGATAATAATATAAAAATTTAAGATAAAGATTCTTTTCTAGAACGTGAATATTTAATTAAAATATTATGTAAAGGGGTTTTTCTTTTCTTAATGAGTCATATGAAAAATAAAAACATTGTAACTTCGTTATCTCAGGCGATATTACAACGGGCATACTAGTATATAGTATGACAATATCTCCAATATCTCTAATATATTTGTGGGACAGCTCGCATAAACACATCCACTAAAATTACGTTTTATCCTCAAATAAACCTTTAGATCATGATGTGCCTACAAAGGCAACTCGAAGTGTAATTTTCTAATTGGTTATTTTTTTTCATTCATTTACAGGAAACATGAATGGTATGAACGTGCTAAGCTTAGCGTTCCAAGCACCGCAGATACCGGGCATACCCACACCGTCATTCTTGCCGTACAACTCTCCTCCAAAATCCTCTCAAGGTTAATGTTTGACAACGATATCTTCCGTCTTGCATTAGCATTTGGTGTATCGTGCTACAATTTCATTTAACGTTTCTGTTTAACCATTTGTCTTCCAGGACCGCAAGACTCATTTGCAGGAAGTGTACTCAACGGCCGTGGCGGCACCGTGGCTCCAGCTCCGCTCCAACCTAGAGCAGCAACGATTGAATCGGTTTTTCTTCCATTACAGGTGAGATGTACCATAGCATATGATACAAGTATATCAAAGAAACCTAAAATAACAATCGTAAGAAAAACGTGAAATGTTTACTGAAAACAACGTGCTCCGTAGGATTTTATTTGACACCGCAAAACATAAGAATCGAATGACGGTCCTTTTATTCAGTCTGCGTTTATTTTGATCCTGGCTATCTATAGTAACATGTTCCCGAAATGATTTTAATAAGCTCTCGGGCCGTCTGAAATCATTGTACACCGATGATAAACTCCATTTCAATGCACTTTAAGAGTTATGAATTTTGTTTTAACCTGGGATATTTCACAAACTTAAAACACGCTTAAATACAAAAATATCGTAGATTCAGACTCTAGATTACCCAAATGTTAAAAAAATGTTTTATAAAAGCGTAAAAAAATTAAATGTTGATGATACCAGATATTTCAACGTATTTCCATTAAACGTTATTAGTCAAAGAAATATTATATTCACCTAGACTAAAATTTTTAATTTTTTCTATTGGATCATCTACATTTTAATTTTTAATTTCTGCATTATTCATATTATTATTTGTGTTATTATTTTCAACCATGATAAATCCGAAACTATTAAAAATTTTTAAATTATTTGTGGTGGTCAGTGGGGTAAAATTATTATCGTATACATTTAAATTTACTTCCTTTTCAATTTAATCCATAGCCCAGTGCTCCAGATAAGCGATTCCCAAAGTGTGTTCAGCGATAACTTAAGTTCCGTAAGACAAATGTGAATATTATTGAAAGTAGTAGTTATAATCATGAGTCATATTGAAAACATTTATTTTGAGTATTTGTTTTTAATAAACAATTGAAAAGTTTGGGTCAAGTTGGAGTTGAAAAACATTGGGGTTCCATAAAATACAAACTATTTCTCAAGGGTTCCGTGATCGTAAAAGTTTGAGAACCGCTGCTCTTGATCATTTTCATTAAATTTATTCATAGATTCTAAAATTGTTAATTCTTCTTCGTATATTTAATTTCCTCTAGAAGTTTAACTTAAATAAAATCAGAGTGAAATATTCAACCAGATTTCTTGCAAAATACATAATCTAAAATGCAGATTGAAAATACATATAATAAGATATTTAAATTGTTATAAAATAAAATAATGAATTAGGTCAAATTAAATTCAATGAAATAGTATAATTAATTTAGAAAAATAAAATCCATTAATAAATTATTCTATTAAAATCAATATTTAACTATGGTATTTGATACATCGACAAAAAATAATTTAAACAAGAATTTGACAACGTAGAAAATCATAAATTATAATAAACTGTCAAATTATACAAAACATATAGTTATTTTATATGCATTCATATATCAAAATGAAATAAACATTAAATATTATACGAATAATAGTGATATTTGTATATAAATGGTTGTCAAGAACTAAATTATTTTCCTTTATATTTGATACGAGCTGATTTACTTACAACATACAAAATTTGTACAAACCAACTTATTTTATTTGAAAAACCTCCGCTAAGAGAATATCAGACAACAGTTTACACGTTTTGGATTGTAAGTTAATTTTTTTTAGGAATAAATATATTTTGGATACAACGAAAGAAATGAAAAATTATTTTTTTTAAATTCAGGGACATAAAAGTACCACTGCTTTTTTTTTTAACACATAGGAGGTTTTTTGTCTTAAGCATTTCCAACTATAGAAGACTAATCTTTGACTATAGCTAACTAATTTGATACATAATACTCCACTTATATTTGTTTATATTAATCATTATAGGTGATTATATCACTCGAAAAAGTTTATTAGAAAACATTTAACTGTTCATATGTAAGCCAAAGAACATAAAACCCTTAGTAAATAATAAAAAAATCAGTACCTAAATTTCAAAACAGATCTATGTATGTTTTAAAAATTTTAATTAATATTCAATCGGTAAATATGAAACACTTAAAGCAGTAATTTTTTTCTTTAATAGACTTTGAATAGGAAATCACTGAATAGCACTCGCAAATTTTTAAAAAACCTATATTTATCTATACACCAATAGATAAATATGTTAATAGTGTTCGTTAGGTTTATTTTCGGAAAAAAATTAAAAAAACTAAAAAAAATTCGAAAAGATATTGCGATCGACCGGTTGGTCACTCCTGCTGTATAGTATAACTCAGGTCTTAAGACTTAACTTGATGTGTACGTGCGTTGGTGTTCTTTGTGTATCTATTGGACGCTACTGAAAATCTAATATACTCGCAAATATTTGTTTCGAGTGCAGACTCTAGTGAAAGTTGGATGAGGGGATGTAGAGAAAAAGAAATATCGTTTTGAAAATAGCGCAGTTTCAAAAAAGTAATAATAGCGATGGTGAGGTAATTTTTTTTTTTCATTTTATTTTGAAAATTGCTGTTGCGTTAGTAATTAGGTTTTATGATTGTACGATTCAAAGAACAATAGCCTCCCAACCACTGCTTGTCTTATTTCCAAGTTGATTTTTGCGTGGTCACTATTGTTAAAAACTTCGTTAGCACTTTTAATTTAATCGACTTAACTCCATAACTTAGTTGTACGTGTTATAACATTATTCTATAGTACATGTTCTACAAAAGTATTTCCTTCGGTTTTCAGTTTTGTAAACAACCGTTTTTAGTTTCTCGCATTTGTGATTTCCCCATTCCCATAGCCAGGTTATCTGAGTCATATAAAAGATGTTCTGTTGATGATATTCAAAATTTTATATTATAAGAAGGAATAAATATTGTTACTACACATTTATAATGCAGTGTTATATTTTAATAAATTAACTAACCGACAATTGTGTTTTTTTTTTCCGGAATGCAGCCGAGTTTACTGGTGTCTTTGGGCGACGAGTCCAGGTCACAGGACATTGTGATGCAAAGGACCTCTTCGTTGCCGAACTCGTCCGGGAACGACTCGGTCAATCCGTCGTCTTAATGAACGTTTTGCTCACGTAGATTGCTTATTAGATTCGCTCGCATTGGCTCAACGCCATCTAGTCGAGACGTTGGTGGTAATCGTAGCAGCCTAAAACCAAATTCGTTCACAACACAGATAGCGGCTGCTATTAACAATTTTCACTATTATTACTATTATTATTATTATCATTATTATTATTATTATTGTTATTATTACTATTATTTTTTTTTTAAACGAACGAAGTTATTTCTGTAAAATATGATATTTCTTTATAAATATTCGAAAAATAAATGAAAACATCTATCACTTTATAACAGAACTTGTTTTGAACAAATATGCGGCAAGACCGAACCAAAAATAGTACATGGTATCGTACACATAAATACGATTTCGATATTCGATTACAAAAAAAAAACGGTATATTTCAATGATGTTTTAACATCTGTACGAACAAGAGAACCCATGAACAGGCATTAGAAAATTATAATGATCGTAATAACTCTTTAAACTACTTTTAGCATACACAACACTCCCATGCATTTCAATATCAGTCCAGAAACTATTCGCATGATATGTGCTTACAAAGCATTAAATTTAAAATAAACTTTTGGCAGTTGTACATAAATAGATATATAGGTGCCTACATGTTTTGAAATATTAGACAAAATAAATCATTACAGTTTTCCGTGTAACCAAATCAATATTTTTACACACGTCACCGTATTACTGTTGTGGAAACTTATATTCCAACGCTTTATTTGTAACGTTATTGTTACTTATAAATTTATATATTTTTTTAATTTGTCGAACTTAAAAACCTAAAAAGTTTACCCAGTTTGAATGTTTAGTAAATTCCCATTATATTCTGTGATATTTTATTATAATATAAATGATTATGTAATTTTTTTTTTTTTTTTTAATTTTAATATTGATAACTTTCTAGTCATAAACACTGTATAATGTAAAAATTATGTATTTAATGAAAAAATTAGAGAAATGTTATACTTGTTGTGTCGAAGAAAAATTATATAGAATCCTGATTGATGATAATACAGAAAAAAGTTTACGGGATCGTTGACAAATACGAACAGTTCAAATAGAATATGAAAATGCTACCACAATTTAATAACGTAAAAATGCATTTGTATATTCGTTGCACTTTTACTATTAATTTATATTAAAAAATAAAAGGACAAAAACTAAAATAAATAAACAACTCAGCCTTTTATATAATCAATGTATTTATATTATGTACATATGTATTTATTATTTTTAGTTTTTTCATATGTTTTTACATACAAATAAAATATATTGTCCAGAAATCATTGAAGTTACTAAACGTAAATATAGTATATAAATGGTAGTGTTTTAAGTTAAAATACTTCGTCCTTTTTTATATGTATACACTCGTTTTGATAGAGTATCTATAGTTAGATTTAATTATTATAGTATTGAATTGAATTTGTTGTTTGTTAATTTGGATATAATGTAAATAAAATTGTAAAATATACTGACTTTTGAATTTATAAATTAAGATTTAGCAACTACATATTCAAATTAAATAGAACAAGGGTAAATGATTTAAGAAATTATTAAATTATTAGTAACATTCAATCAACTGCTTTTATTTATCAAATAATAAAGATTAGGAATACTTAAGAACTTGCGGTCTGTGTTTACTAATAATCCATTGAAATAAATTAACTATGGAACTTGATAAATCGAAGGAAATATAAATACAAATTTAAATTATATTGTAGTTTATCATATTAATTGTTTCCATCGAATTTTTCAAATCAAGAGAATTATAAATATTAATGTAACTAATTCATTAATATAAATATTACAAAAATGTAATTTTTTTCCTATCGTATTTTTCAAATAACTAATTGAGCGTCTGAGGTAATTTAACAGATAAATAAAAAAAATTAACCATTTAAAAATAAAAATAAGAATTCTTGGTTGGTACTTAAAATTTTTAAAATGATTATAACTTTTTGTGTTATAATTTAAAATAAATAAATGCATTGTAATCAAATCATGTGTAAATCAAATATAGGAACGTCATTTTGGCCCGTGTCAAATGGACGCATACAACATTTAAACGCGTGCAATTTTGACGTATCGACATTTTGGTGAATGTCAATTCGACGCGTTTTATGATACAATTATATCATCACTCGATAAGAGTTATATATAATATGAATTTTTTAGTTATAAGTGACCAATTTCATTACATTTATTTTTAATGCTATCCGTATAGTTAAATTTTTATCACGCATTTTAATAGATACAACATAATACAACAGTATATCAGCACAAGATATTTGTTGAGACTTGAACATTAGTACGCTTGACTATTGTTTAAATATTTACAAAATTTAATTATTTTACCAATAAATACCTAATATTTTTGATATCTTTGTTTATTTGTTGTTTTTGGATGATTAAATAAAACGGATCGAATCGAAATTCTTCGAAATGTAGTTACGTCGAAAATACACGCATCTAAATGTCGTATGCGTCCAATTGTCTTGTGTCGAACTGACCACCTCCATTTGATTCCCATAAAAATTGCCTTGTCAAAATAATGCAACGTCGTGTGAATAAAAATATAAAGCTAATAATTTTATATGAAATAATATATATATATATATATATATTATTATATATTATTATTATATATATTATTATTATATATATATATATATATATATATATATATATAAAAAAAAAACAAGATAAATGAATTAAACCTTTTCTTTTAAAAGAACATGAAGAGCAGGATAAAAAGTATAATAGTAAAATAAATATTTGACCTTGTCCAAAATTTGAATATAATTTTACTATTTATTTTTAACAATCCCGGTCATCCCTCAATTATCTATAAAATCGCTATGTATTTTTAAAAATCTTACAAATTGAAGAGTGAATTAAGTCAGTACTGATAATCGATATTCCAATACTTACAACTGTTCTTAATATTAGGGAATCATTAAACCAATAAGGTACTTTATCGTTCAACAATAATTGAAACTTGATAACTCTAAGTTTTAGTCTTACATATATATATCAATAAACATTGCTACGATAAACTACAAAGCTATATTTAGAATAATTAATATTTTTTTTTTTTTTTTAATAAAACTAAATATTAATTAATTGAATTCGGAAAAATTAAAAATATTGTTCAAGTCTAAAGAGATCTGTTTTGTAAAATTATGAAAAACACATGTTTTCGTATGCTCAATAATACATATTATGTTTACATATGAATATTATATTTATAAAACATATGAGTAAGTTTTCAATTGGTATTTGTTTTTTAAAAATTTATCGAATATATTAAGTTGATTGCTTAATATAATTGAAATAATTGTACTATTGTAATGTTTGTGAATTTAAATATATGGTTCAAAATTTTAAATAGATATAAATAAAAACTTGGTGAATTGTGGATACATAAAAATCATTGAACAAATATCTCATGATTTTATATTTATTCACTAAGAACTAATCAAGAATTATGCATTGTATGATCCACAAGTAAAATAATAATATCGGTTTTAAATGATTTTTCATATCTGAAGAAGCTAGTGTGTTTAAATACACATGTTTGTGGTTTTTTAAAATATGTCTTGAAGGGACAATAAATATGTTAAATCTACGATTACTTACAAATTTATAAATTTAATTAATTAATTTTCATACAATACTTGACCGATATTTTGTTAGAATCAAATTTAATATCTAAGGTAACTAGTGAAATATTACCATCGACAATAGTTGTGTGCGAGTTTGAACATTGCGTAATGATTACTACTATTTTATACAAAACATTTAAGTTAGTTACACTTTGAATAAAAAGCATTTTAAACTCCTCCATCATATTAACACGTTAATGGTAAGATATAAAATATACACACTGGTTTATTTTACGTAGTATACTCAAATTAAATCGCTAACTTTAATTCGCCAAACCCACACGCGTGAAAAAAATCACTAAGAATAATGTGAAACAAATAAATAAAGAATTGTCACAGTGAACAAGTATTTTTAATACAAATCATTAATGGATGCAATTAATTATCTGAATACTTTGTGAGAGGACAACTGTTACAGTGAAATACAGCAGTTAATATAAGAATAACACAGTTTTCAAGACCCATGTAAATGCTAGGCGATCATGCAATTAGTTTAATAAAACGGATAAAAGGTAATATCAGTGGTTTTATTATTAAACAATTGTACGAAAAGTTATATTATAACATTACTGCTATATATTACGTCCAAGTACGTTAGTCGTGCTACAGTAATAGTTATGATACTAAAAATTGAATAAGGACAGTTAATTTGTGATGATTTGTCAATAATATGCTTACGAATACTATCATAATAATGCAGTTACATATTCACCACTTTTAACTGTCTTTAGTTCTATATAAGCTACAATCACATTTTTGGTTGCCATCATACATTTGTATATTAATAAAGTAAAATAATTTTAAATTTTTTTTATCAGAAAATCACAATAATTTACGCATTATTGCTAATTGTATGATTTTTGTTGTTCAAAATTCTAACGGTTTACTTTTGCAATAATTAACTTGTAGAGTTGTGACATTTTTTTTTCTTTTATTAAAATGCATATTCACGATCTATACAACAAGTAGTACAATAAGTTAATTTGATAATATATAATATAAAACATAACATGTATATCTTGAGGGGGGAAAACCGTCCATCAACAGTACCTACTAATTAGTTTAATGGTTTATATTATAGGGACTGTTTTTTTTTTAGTGTAATCACATGGTGGATATTAAGATCCCGGTACCGGCATGTACAGTACTAACGGGGTGCTCTGTTCGATGTGTTGTATAACCTGGTATTAGTGCTCAGCATGGTCCGTAATTTTAGGGACCGGACCTGATTGAGAGTGTTAAAAAAGGACCGAAGTCGGACCGAACCGATTGTTACATTTAATTTTAGACCGGACCGGATTCAAAATTTAAAATAATTTATTTGAGTGGACCGAGACCGGACCGCTGGTCCAAACTAATTAATTTCGGACTATAAAAGCTTATGGACCGGACCGGACCGGACCGGACCGGACCGCGAACCTATTTTTTTTCTACCATACAAGACGCTAAGTATAACATAATATGATTAAGCGGACAAACGATCCAAACTAAAAAAATATTGCACCATGAAAATAGACTACAGTAAATTTATATTTTATCATAGGTATATTAGGTACATATATATATACTACACCAGCGGTTCTTAATCTGTGGTCCACGACTCTCTAGGGGCCGCGATACTCATATCGGGGGTCCGCGGCAGCCCTAAAATATAACATATGTACATCAATACATGACATGATATTACAATATTGTTGGTTAATATTATTATTAATTTTTATAAATATATTTTTTATTATATAATAGATTTTATTATTATACGATGTTATAAAACTTGTGTATCAACCATCGTATTAAGCTAATAAAAATTAAATTTTAAGAATATTAAAAAAAATAAATTAAACTAAAATAATTAAATTTAAGTTAACTGAAAAATTAAGTGAAATAAGGATAATTATAAATATGTATGTTTTGTTATGTCTATTAATCTAATTTATTAAATAAAACAATTATTATAATTTTGGTTTTAATAACATAAGATGTTTTGTGTAAAAAAAAGTATTAAACAAAAAATTAGTAAGGGGTCCGCAATTTCTAAAAATCTTTCATCAGTAGTCTGTGAACTACAAAAGATTAAGAACCGCTGTACTACACTATACTGTACTCATGTTTATCTCATTATTAAGTATTAATTATTTTTACAAAGAAGTTTACGTGGAAATATAGAACTACTTACTATCGGGTCTG